GGAGATGAAATGGGTCGGCTGTAATGGAGTGACAAAACAAAACAACGCAGGGAGGTAAACAGGGCGATAGTGGGTGACACTGGCATCAGGTAAGATGGACTGGCGAAGCACCGACCTTCCATGCCTGCGAGCCAATCGACGTCCCTGCATGTCATCCAAGCCGCTGCGGGTTTGCCCAGTGCCCTCCCCACACTGAAGTATCGGGTACCTTGCCGCGCTGGGGCCTTTAGACTTGTTTGACCGGGAAGGTACAGGGGCCGGTGGTCGACAGGCGCGACCGACGGGCAAAGCAGGCACGGTATAGGCGCAGACTGGGCGGGCAGGAGAGTGCGGGAGAAAGAAAAAAAAAAGACCCTCAGGGAGAAAGCCCAGGACGCACTGCCCAGACCTCGCTGTCGCACCTGCCGCCTTGCCGGCTAGCTGGACAAGCTTTTCGCAGGCCCCATACTGTTCTTGGCTTAGCTTTCGAGCTCTTCTCCGAGAGACCCCATTCTGCGCCCCCAATGAGCCCCCCCCGTCCAGTGGGTGCGGGCGGGCATTCGCACTGGAAAGCGAGATCCAATGTACCAAGTAATACCGACGACCTGAGTAACCTGGCTACCTAGGTAGGTAGGTAGGTACGGTACCTTACCTACCTACAGTGGGTGTGCACGGCAACAGACAAGCGCGACAGGCAGGACGGCACACCCCATTCTCGGTGGTCTGAAATACCTCGTGGTCACCCGTCCGCTTTCGATCGCTGATAATCCTGCTTGCTCCCTCCCCTTCTTCTTCCTTTTCCCTCTCTTCCTCCTTCAGCTCCCAATTCCCTCCCGGCAGCATCTTCACTCTCCGTTCATGTTAGTATTTCCCCTCCCCTCAACTTGGTGCATCGGCGTCTTTGCCAATCATTTTTTTTTGGTGCTATTCCACGCTGCATCATCCCTGCGTTGTTGGCGCTTGGCTAATCGTCTTGCTGCAGAAACCCCAGCTTTCGACTCTTGTCGTCGTTGTCGCACGAGCACCATCTACCCAAGGTAAATTGATCCTCAATCCCCTTGTTTTCGAAGTTCCTTTGCTGCATCGCATTCGCTACACCCAATCGTGGCCAATTGGTCGCTCTCTGCACCGAGGGAAGCTCTGGGCTACAACAGACGCCAAGTTTTCTGCTATCCGACGGTCTCGTCTCGCGCGATGGGCTTGGCGGGCGCCGTCTGCAGCTCCAGGCCCCGGGCCATTCAATACAGACACCAACTGGTGGTCCGGCACCAGCCCCAGGCCTGGAAGCTCGGAGACCCGTGTTTTCGCGCTCTCTGTTGTTTAAAAGCCTCACACAGCAACCATTGCTTTCGCCTTTTCCCACCCTTCGTCTCGTATTCAATAAGGCCGATTCAGCGTTCTGAGTCTTTCTCGTGCCTTGGCGCATTCTTTGACCCGGGTCTTCTCGCTAACGAATCCCTCTCAGTTCATCTCATCTCCACTCCCCCACCACCGCCAACATGCCTGCCGTCAACACCCTCGTCGCTCGCGACGCCCTCAACCAGCTCGCCAAGCGCAACTGGCCCAAGCAGGAGCCCGGTCTGATGGCCGTCTTCGTCATTTGCGGCCTCGTCGCCATTGTCCTCATCGGCATCTACTTCTTCAAGTGGAACAACAAGAGGAAAGCCAGGGCCCAGACCCAGCAGATCTAGAGAACTAGCGCCGGGGACGCACCTCAGGCAGCGGCCGGGGCCTACGCCTTACCGCTTCGACGGGAATCAACAATTCTCGACAACCAAGCCAACGCTGATGGACAATTAATTTCGGACGGGATTTCTTGCTCACGAGGGTCATGAGGCGTTGGAAAGGCGGTGGGGGTCTCTTTCGGACTCGTCACCGCACTTGACCGTCGTGCATGATCCGCCATCTTGGGCAACCCTGAGCGGGGCGTGTGCACTCGTTGGCAGCGGTCGTTGGGCCTTGGGTCGAAGTGTAGACGGAGGGCGTTGGGGGGAGCCATGTCACACCATTACTTTTGTACAAACGCGCGCATCCATCCATCCAGTACTATCTGGTCTGGACATCTTTCGCGGAGCAGCGTTCCGTCTCGGTGCTTTGCGTCGGTAGCCAGATCAACTCTTAATGACACGATACCACTTAAAGCTACATTTGTTGTACAATAATCTATTGGCTCAATTGACGTGAAAAGAAACAAAATCTGACCCTACAATGACACACTGTCGCCAGACTCCAGATTCATGTCCACTCATGAGCCGCGACACCTTTCTCCGATATTGAATACATAATACACGGCTCCCTCGTCCGTGACCTATACGACGAAGCTTCTCGGTTCTCAGCCGTAGGACAAAACAGACAATCCCGTGCTCAACAAGCTGCACTCACCCCGAAAAGGCGCCGCCTGCCTCAAAGTACATCGTATCTCAGCACACAGGGTCTCGCAGCAAGCAGGACCTCCAGTCATCGACATGTCCCTCCCCCCCCCCCTTCCCCCTCAAACGAGGCCCCATGCGATCAACAACGGCATGGCAACATAGAGAAACACCATGGCCACAACAGCAGGCACAACGGGAGGCGTGTGCTCAGCGGCGCAGCCGATCAAGGCGATGACGAAACCGAGGGGCCGCACGACGAGAAGGCGCAGCAGCGCCGCGGGCCAGCGTAGTAGCACCACCCAGCGGCGGCGGTGGTCGTCGTCGTGTTCGCTGCGGCCCACGTCGGCCGCGAGCTGGCTCTCGAGGCGGGCGTTGATGTCGTGCGGGCTGATGAGGCGGTTGACGGAGGCGGAGAAGGAGCTGGCGCGCGAGCGGCCCTCTGGGTCGGTGGCGACGCCGAGACGGGATCCGCCGGGGGACGGCGAGGGGGGGATCTCGCAGGTGCGGCCTTTGGCGCGGTTGTAGGCTTTTTGGTGTTTCGTGTTAGTGTGACGTGCGCTCTCTCATCTCATGATTCCTTCGGGGGGCAGAGGGTGAGGTGTGCATGTGGAAGGGTGAAGGGTGTGTGACAGGGGTGTGGAAGCAGCAGGAGCGAACAGCATGAGGAAGCGGCAGGAGAAGGCACGGCAACTGAAGATTGAGTGCCGACGTCATTGCGTCATTCCGTGATGTTCTGGATGGATGTCTTTGATGTCTTGCTGGATCAGGGTGGGAATCTGTTTCCTTACGCATTCTGCCTGTTGTTGGTTTGGGGCGTGCACGCGCCGTGCCAGGGTAACAGAACCCTCAGCTACAGATACAGTTCGTAGGTAGGGTAGCTACAGGAAAGTCCTGGTCCGACGTCCACAGGGGAACCCTCAGGGCGGCAGCATCGGCGATGCGTCGTCTTGGGTTGTCGGCGACGGGCTCGATGCGCTCCCTTCGTCAGGGGTGCGAGGCACACGTCTTGAGCTCGCAGATGGCGGTGCGATGAGACAAGTGATGTGGTGAGCTGGCAGGCAGGTTGATGAGAGGGAGGGAGAGGTCGGAATGCGGTTGACCCAGTCTGAGCTGCCAAGTCAGGCGGGCCAAAGTCTGCCAGTTCAGTCCCTTGGCTTTCGTTGTCAATAGGAGAAGAGCCAGGAGCCAGGACCGGGAGTGGGAACAAGTGCTGTTTTCAGTTTCCCTAAGGCTTCCGGGGGCGCTGCCGTCTTGCGACGAGCACAAGCCCATTCATCTCACTGATGCCGGGTGGGGGACACGACAGACGGGACATGGTCAACTGGCTCGTTGCTGCGCCTTGCACATTTGCCTCCAATGCGTTGGAAGCATCAAATTAAAGTTCTGGTGTTCGAGACAGGTGCATCACCAGGCCTGCCAAGCACAGCCCTGTCGAGAAGCGCTGCTGGCTGGGGACATCTACCTACCTAGCGGGGAACAGCTTGTCTGCTCACTCTAGGTAGATACCTACCTACCTATCACGAGCTTGTTCCCCCTTTGTGGTGGCCCATGGGCAGCATGGGGGCCCAATTCACGTCGACAGACAACCCACCGTCTGCTCCAGTCCATCGCGGCATCAGGGACCGATACAACACCTCCGAACCCGCGCAGGCCGGAGTTCCGTCCTATTATTCGGCTGACTGTGCCGTGGAACAGCTACGTCAGGCTCCAACTGAGTGAACCACATAAAAAAAGAAGGACGCGCGCTTTTCGCAGCAACAATGTCGACCTGAGAAAACAGCAATTACATCCATACATCATGGCGACCATGTCCTTCTTCGAACAGCTGCAACGCGTTCACCGCCACAATGTCACGACGCTGCGCCAATCCCCAGTGGCCGAGATCTCAGGCGCCTTGGGAGATCTCGGCACCCTGCTGCCCTTGATGATCGCGCTCGCCATCCAGGAGGACATTTGCCTGGACAGCACCCTGGTCTTCTCGGGACTCTTTAACGTGGCCACAGGTGTCATCTTCGGCATCCCGCTCCCTGTTCAACCTATGAAGGTGCCTTGCCCTCCCATCATGGAAATTCTGACTCATTGGCTATTGAAATTAACCACGTGCTCCGCCTCCAGGCCATCGCCGCTGCAGCCATCGCCCGACCGAACACCGGTTTTGAGGATGTGATCTATGCAGGGCAATGGGTTGGCCTCGCCGTTCTCTTGATGAGCTTGACCGGCTTCCTCCAGCGATTCAGCGCCGTGGTGCCCATACCCATAGTCAAGGGCATTCAGTTGGGCGCCGGTCTCTCTCTTGTCATGGCAGCTGGCTCCAAAATAGCGGGTTCCCATGATAGAACCCCTCTTCTGGATTATGCCGCCTTCGTGGCGCTCGTCGCTACACAGACTATGCCGCGATTTCCATACGCCCTGTGTATGTTCATGCTGTGCGTCGCAATGGCCCTGGCTTCGGTCGTCCATTCGGGGGGCTGGGCAGCTTTGCCAGGTCTGCGACTCTGGGAACCTCGTTACGTTCTCGGGTTTTATGACCCTACCAGGTCAACAGAGGCCATGGCCATGGCCCTCGGCCAACTGCCCTTGACCACCCTCAACTCGGTCATTGCCGTCAGCGCTCTTGCGACCGATCTGCTGCCGAATATGCCTACACCTTCCGTCACGTCCATGGGCATAAGCGTGGGTCTCATGAATCTGACGGGCAGCTGGTTTGGGGCCATGCCTGTCTGTCACGGCGCTGGTGGACTAGCGGCTCAATACAGATTCGGGGCCCGCAGCGGTGCCAGCGTCGTCATGCTAGGTCTGTTCAAGCTGTTACTTGGACTCTTCTTCGGTCGCAGTCTCATCAACCTGCTGGCTGAGTACCCTCAGAGTCTTCTTGGCATCATGGTCATCGCAGCTGGGCTGGAGCTTGTCAAGGTCGGGTATTCGCTCAATCATGGGGCGCCGGATCTCTGGGAGAACTCGATACAGCAATCTCAAGAAGGACCGACTGTGGTGAGAAGGCATCGCGACATCACAGATGAGGAGAGAACGGAGAGATGGACAGTCATGATGATGACTACAGCGGGCATAATAGCGTTTCGCAATGATGCCATTGGTTTTGTAATGGGTCTCGTATGCCACATGGCGTATCGGGTGGCGGAAAGGCTACCGCGATGGTATCATGCCAGGCGATCCAGTCTCTTCTCTGGTGCAGGAGAGCATACCCCTTTGCTCAGATAATAAATATAGTCTTTGGTTGCAGGGTCGTCCGTCACGCTGGGGTTCCAAGGTGCTAAGGAGGAAGTCCAAGAAGAAAAAAACTGGTCGAAGTGCTAGTTGGGCTCTTTTTCCCTGGACCCATTTCTCTGACAAGCATTCCGTTGTCTGTGATGCAGTGCCAATTTTTTTTTTTGGGGAGAGACGTAGACGGGGAAGGCTGAGGACAGGAAGTACCTACAACAGTGCCAGATCAATCAAAGTGGGCAAGCGCATCCAAGTGTCAGCGCTGCAGGAGCCTCGGCACAACCCGCACCTTACCCTGGAGGAAGCAATGGGCTGCTACGGCGTCAATGTCTGAGGTGCCTGTCTCGTGCTGGCTCCTTACACCTTACACACCGAAGGTACCCCTTGATCGAGATGCCTTAGACAGGCGGGCAGGTAAGGCAAGTCTCGCTGGCGAGGAAAGAGGTACCCAACCAAGGGTGTTGACCAGTCGCGCGGGGAAAGAGGAGCCCGTCGGTGAGAGAAAGCGCCATCTGACCAATCACAAGGCGCGCCGACCCCATCGACCCTGTCGTCCTCTAAGGTGAGCCCATCACAAGGCAGAGACCAAAGGGCGACTGGCTCTGGCGCCCAATTTTTTTGGGAACCTTCCCTTCCGCATCGTATCCCGGCCGAGCGCATCACGACGCAGTCCCGTCGCATCTGACCAAACGCCCTTGTTGGCTCGCAGAAGACGAAGGAGCTGGTCTGTTGCCGTCCGCGCAGAGCAGCGATGACTTCGTCCCAAGCCGGCCAAAGCGGCCAGGCGCCCGAGCTACCGATGCCCATCCCGACGACACCACCGCCAAAGTCCAAGCCCGTCACGCCAATGCCTGCGACTGCTGCGCCAGCGACACCCACCGCCGCCGCGACGACAACGACCACTCCACCACCGCCTCTACCGAGCGATCAACCGTCGGCAACCGTACCCGCTGGTTCATTCGCGGCGTCCGACATGGCTTCTGCCGACGTCTCGGTGCCCACGGCTGGCCATCCCATGGACAGCCTTGTCGAGGGGGTCACCTCCGAATCCCTCGACACCGATATGCCTGATGCCCAGCCATCACTGGACCAGCAACAGACGCAACAACAGAACAACCAAGGCCTCCAGAACAATCGCCATCGATCACAATCTCACACCCGTTCCTCCAACCTCAACCCCTTCGATGTCCCCTTCCCGCGCACGCCCATCTCCGCCCTTGATGCCAACGCGTACATGGCCATGGCCCTCGCGCAAATGGCCGGCGATTCAATGATGCAGCATCAGATGGCCCAGCCACCCTCGACAGTCACCCCGGCTCAGGTCACACTCCCCAGCAATCTCACCAACGGCGCCGACGGCGTGACCGCCAGGGCTAGTAACCTGCCGGATGCCGGCGAAGGCCTCGAATCCTTCGCACGAATAGAATTCGCCGACAGTGTCTTCCAGATGACGACTTATGCTGTCATAATCGGACGCGACCAACGTGCCCTCGAGCAAGCCAGGAGAGATGAGCGGCGCGCCGAAGAACACAGGCGGAGGGCGGCGGAGAACGAACGGCTAGGCCTGCCTCCACCATCACCCGTAAGGCATGACAGAGGCAAATTCAGCAAATCCTATGTCAGTGAGGAAGGTGGTATGCTGGGACCTGAGTCCGATAGTGATGAGACTGGTCGGCCCAAGAAACGACGAAAGACCAGCACCAATGACGAGCCGGAGCACCAAGAGGCGGATCAATCGCAGGAGAACTTGATTTCAAATCGCCAGTACATCTCGCATACTCCTGGTGCTGCTGCTGTCGACCTTGCATCATTACGACCGTCCCCCTACCACGTGCCCATCATTGGCATTCACTCTCCAGGTCCCGACATCGCCAGCAAAACAAAGGCAATCTCTAGGGAGCATGTTCGCATCCAGTTCAATCAGAAAGAAAGTGTTTTTGAAGCCATACCGCTACACAAGAACGGCTTCTTCGTCGGAGACGTCTTGCACAAAGAAGGCACGGTCGTCCTCCGAAGCGGCGATACTCTCCAGATCAAAGACGTTGACTTTCGCTTCCTTATCAACGGCGTTCCTGAGGGCAAGACCGGCGCGGAAGAAGAGGTCGAAGAGGAACGCATGAAGAAGAAGCGATACTCTGAAGGCGGCAAAGAGATGAGCTTTGAGTTCGAGGCATCGCATGGAAACGGCCAGCTGCAAGACACAAGTGACTCGTCATCCGTCCTCAGCCCTCCCGCACCATCCGATGACGAGGATTCTGAGGCCGAGGCGGGCGATGCAAGACCGCCCAAAGCCGCGGTCGACACGACAGCTGAGGCTGATTTGGAGGCGATGGATGCCGATGCAGACGCAGATGCAGATGCCGATATGGACGCCCCTGCTGAGCCGGAACATGTACAAGTGAAGGGCGAGCTCGGGATGGACCCTCAGCCGGAGATGTTGCTCCCACCGATACCAAAGAAGCGCGGTCCTGGCCGTCCGCCAAAGAATGGCATCATGTCTAAGAGAGAACAGCGACTTCTCAAGAAGCAGGCACAGGAGATGGCAAGAAAGACGCTACCACAGCCTCCGCCTGGCGAGCCACCGATCAAGCGAAAGGTCGGGAGACCTAGGAAGCATCCTTTGCCTGAAGATGGCGGCGACCGTCCTGAGAAGCGCAAGTACAAGCCAAGGAAACCCAAAGAAGAAGGAGGGGAAGGGTCCGATGCCGAGAGACGTGCCAAGGAAAAGAAGGACAAGAAAGTGCGGCCCAAGTCACCCCCCCTTGAGCTCAAGATTGAGGATTACACAGAGGAACAGCTGCAGAAGCCCAACAAGAATTACGGCGTTCTCATCGACGAGACGTTGACAGCTGCCCACGCCGAGGGCCGTGCCGAGGGTCTTACGCTGAAGCAGATCTATAAGCGCATTACGCTCAAATATCCCTGGTTCTACTTCCATACCGAAACCAAGGGCTGGGAGTCCAGCGTGCGACACAACCTAATTGGGAACGAGGCTTTCAAGAAAGACGATACGACAGGCCTCTGGTCAAGAGTTCCAGGGGTCGAGCTTGATGCCGGCAAGAAGCGTAAGGCTACCTCGCCCGACCGCACCCTCGCGCCCGGCTACGGGCCGTACGCGCACCCAATGTACCCACCATATACAGCGACAGCTCCTCATATGGCGCCGGCAGCGCCTGGAGCACCAACATATCAGCATCAACCCCAAGCCTATCACCCTCAAACTTACAATGCCCAACAACCACAACCCGCCAGGCCTCCCCAGTATTCCCCGCCAGGATCTGTGCCGGTAGCCAGCCAAGCACCCCAGCCCGTTCCAGCACAGCCAGTCGCGCCAGCACAACTCCCTGGCTACGGCCCTGCTCCCGCCGGGGTTGCCCAAACCTCAACGTACAGCTCGCCGTACGCATCAAGACCTCCGCCGGCCAACCCAGCAGTCAAGACCGAAGACGGCACCGCTCAGGTGCATGGCCCTCCGGCAGCACAGGCGCCAGCGCTGGCGCTTCCCGGAGTCCCGATTCAACCACAACCTGCTACCAACCCGCAAGCCGCGTCTACAGCGCAGCGAGTAACTCAGACACCACCGCTACAAAGCCAGCAGCGGCACGTCATCGAGCCTAGGCTCTTCCGCTCCGTCTTAGGCCTCAAGAATGGCTTGGTCGAGAACATGAAAAAGGCAAAGAGCCCAAAGGGCGAGGCTATTGTCATGTCGGCACTCAACCGTTGTCTGGGTCTGAAAGCAGCAGCAACGGAAAACCCCGCGCTGGAAGACATTTGTATGCGAGGCATACAGAAGGTCTTAGACGGCTACTCTGGTCAGAGCAAGAGTCCCACGCCTGGGGAACCCGCTACGGCCAAGGCAAACGGACCAGGTTCGGTGTTTGACCCCAAGGTCTTTGCCGCTCTCGTGGGCTTCAAGAATGTCTCAACCAATGCGCTCAAGGCAACCGTGGGCGAGAGTGTCGCCGAAGCCGTCGCGCTGTCGGCAATTGACCGGGTCCTTGGCCTAGCGGAAGCCAGTATTGTGCCACCCAAGGCACCTCCCCGTGATGGCAGCCCGCCAGAGGCTAGCAAGCAGTCTAGCTATGAGGTGATCGAGACTCGTTTGATGGCGAACGTGCGGCAGATGCTGCTTGGTCTGAACCAGAAGTTACATGGAGCATGACGCATGCCTGAAGAGGAGCATAGGAACGGCGCTTCGGAGTGCAGCCTAGCACTTATTTGCCCGAGCTCACATATGGGCTTCATGGGCGTGACTATGATTATGACATCAACATCTTAGGGCAGGAGTTTAATGCACGCCTCGTCGGGTTAGACGGAGAACAACAGGTAGCGTGTGAATGATATTTACCAGACTCACGCTTCACTAAGAAAGATCGTTCAGGGTGACTGGTGACCGAAGTATTTGTTTAACAGCGATGTTCATCACGTGAAGGCGTCCGTTGGACAGGTCAAATCAATCGCAGCAATTTAGTTTCGCAGCATTTCTAACTTTCTCAGGAGCTAGCGCAGCATCCAAACTCCGGCAATAGGAGTCAAAGCCTGATAAAGAGAAGCTCATGCTGCCTAGCCCCCACACCAGGGCCTGCGATCAACTCCAGTCATATGCCGTCGGCGGGTTGGGTGGCTCAGTCAGGGCCCGGCGGAACCTCCGTCCCCCCTCACGAGGCACGACAGGCGCTCGGCGGGTTGGACAGGGCGGGACTCCTTCTAAGCGCCTCCTAGGCTCGGACCCCGGACCTCTCCCTGGCGGCGGTTCAGTGCCCCTGAAGTGGTCGCGCCAACTCTCGCTATTCATCCTCGTCGTGTCAACTGCTGTCTTTGGGCCTCCATGAGAGACGCCGAGTGTTTCTGTAGCCTCTTTCCTGCCGTCAGCTGGGCAAAACGAGTGGGACTGATGTGGGAAGGCGACCTGATGATGGTCATGGGGCAGGAGCCGCCTCATCGAATCGTGATAGGCGCTGGAGATGCGGTCACCTGCCGCTTTATTCTTGGCTCGGGCCGCGTCGCGCTCTGCCTTGAGTTGAGGCGTTTCTGCATGCTCGGAGGGCACGGCGAGCACTTTGGCGAAGACTTCGTCGTACAGGATTTGCTGCTCCTTTATGAGGGGCGGGAGGTGGGAGCCGATGGGGGCGTCGTTGTCGAAGAAGGCGTCGAGAACCCGGAGCTTCTCCTGAATCGTCATTGCGTCCCAGCTGGTACGGCACGATGACCTTGCTGCGATCGGGTGATGGTTTGATGCATTGTTGACTTGAGGGTGTGGGGTCTCTTCGGCAGGCTGTGGCGCCTTGGTTGAGGAAGATTCACTTGAGCGGCTGGCGGAGCCTGTGTAGTTTCGAGGGAACTTCCAGTCCGCCTTCCCATTGTCTAGATTCGGATGGAAACCCTGAGAAGGTCCGTCCAGGCGGTCGTCATTATCCAGGAATGCTCTGTGCGTGGTCTGTATGGCAGAGCTTGCTATAGGATCAGCGTGGCCGAAGTCAGGACTCGACGCCATGGCATTGGTGTTACTGGTGATAGGTTTGCGCAGGCAAAGCGGCCTGATTGCGATTTCTCCAGCCTGGACCTGCTGGTCACCCTGCAAAGGCAACTCGGGCTGGTGTTGTCTTGAGGGTAAACGTAGAGGGGCGGGTATTGGACTGCTATAGGCGGCCCCAGAGCGGAACCCATACATGTTGTCGAACCTGAACTCGTCGGAGTCAGAGTCATCTTGGGGAGCACGGACAAGAGATCCTGCAACCCTGCGGTCCCGCCAAACCATGGTGTCATCTGTGATAGGGGGGAACAAAGCGTGCGAGCCTCGGTTTGCGTGGTCGCTATGGGCAGCTGCGAGAGCCCTGTTACTAATGGTGGCCTCACGGATGAGCTTCTTCTCTCCGGACCTAATCGCACGCTTCTCGGCGTTTCTGTTAACTTCCTCGTCGGGCATGTCGAGGTGGCCACGAACCCCTTTCTAAAAAGCGTCGACCGCCTCTCCACCGCGAATCAAAGAGCTGGGTCGACTGTGCTCGGCGCCCGTACAGGTGGCATCTGTGTTTGTGCTGTGAAAGGTAGTCGAATCTATGCCCGTGGTGATCTCTGTGCATGTAGCATCGTCTGATGGAAGAGAACTATCAGCATTCATAAGGGTATTGTGCTGACGGTGTACTCACATTCCATTTTGCCTATCTGCCATTCGATATTCGCCTTGGCCTCGGCAGCACTATCTCCAGGGACTTTGGTCATGAGAAGATGCCTCTGACAGAAAGAAAATCGATGCGGAAACTCACCATTGCTGAATGAAGGAACATCCCTCCCGCTAGATTCATGCTTAATTCCGTAGACGCGACTGTTCGAAGTCATACCGCAAGGATAATGTAAGTCGTCCGGCGAATGGTCCTCCGAGGGCAAGCCAAGCGCCTGGTTTGCAAAGAATTCTTGATACGTGAGCATCGTCAAGGAGTCCTCCTCCGTTCCAGGGACACATGTCGGAGGCGAGGGCACAGCCACAATAGCTGGGACATTCTCGTTGTATCGAGAGGGAGCAAGGGCAGCTCCAACGTTGGCGGGAAGAGACTTTGAACTCGGCTCCTGGCCACTGTATGACGATGTTGGAGTGAACTTTCGTAAGGGTCTCTCGGTCATCCCAGTAGCAATTGGCTTCTTGTGTTCCAGCCAGGAGACAATATCCCTGACAGCTGGTTTCCCTGACGCATTTGACGGCTTGCGGTCTCCTTTATAAGAATGCGAAGAGTCGGTGTTAGATGTCTTTGAGGACGCTTCTTTGCGCGAAGCCATGACAGTTGACGTCGAAATAGGGGTGGCGCCTGAGGCAGGAGTCGAGGTTTGTTTGCGGCTGAAGCCGGAAGTGAAACTTGTCGTTACGCCGGTGATAGGTCGTTTCCTATCCAGGATGCCTTCATCCGGGTGATCGGGGGAGGCTTGGCCGCCTTCACCTTGATTGCCGGGGCTCCGTGGCACTGAGCTTTCGGTACGCTGATCCATGACGCGATGACCGCTGATGCCAGGCACGGTCTTTACACTACCGGTCTGTACACAAGCCTCGGCAGGAAGAGTTCTCTGACGCGGATTCTTTTCGGTAGTCAGTATTTGTGGATGAAAGTGACAGGCGTCACTGGGTGGGAGACGTCGATATTTGATCTTTCTGAGTCAAGTGGCGCTGTTGTTTGTGCAAGTGATGGCCAAGAGTGGTGTTGGCAGAGTAGAGCTTTCAAGAAAGCAGATTGGGAAGAATGGTGTCAGATTTAGGTTTCCCGCGAGGCCGTGAATGAATGACAGTACATATTGCAAGAATATTTTTGGCGTCCCTATGCGTGTCGTTCAACAACAGCCGTTGCCTTGGGCATCTGGGTAGGCGTTGTCAAGGCAGACGGCCTTTGATGTACTCAACTAAACGTGCAGATGACGAATACAAGTCCCCAGCCCTCCAGAAGAACAACACTGAACACAATGTTGATGGACATTGCCTTCGTGTCTAAGCTTGCGCAAATGCTTGAAGGGGCCCATGGTATCGCAAATGAACAGAACCAAAGACTAATAATAAATGGTTGTGTGGTTTCCTCGCAGGCTCATGAGCACGAGTATAGTATCACACTCACAGCTTCAACTGCAACCCGACACAAGACATGAGGAGCATATGAATGGATCACTCGCGGTGTTGACAGCATCGTGACCAGGGACGTGTTGGAGTTGCATACGCACAGGCCAAGTCGGTCGACCCCAGCCCCATAATTCGTGCCTCGCAGGCGCCAATGGCCACACGGCAGGGACCACCTCCTGAGGTGCTTGGAGGACCCTCTGACTTTGGCGTGGCCTTTGCCTGAAGCTTGAGTAGGGGGATTGACCGTACAGCTGTCTTCAACTCAGCATCGAACCTGCCGACAACCCCAAAGCCTCCCACTTCGCAACCTCTACCGAAATAGTCAAGATGGATCCCTACTCGGCCGAAGGCGAGCTGATCAACATCCACAACCACTTCCACCAGGGCCAATACCAGGAGGTCATCGATTATGACACTTCTTCGCTCTCCTCCGAGAACGCCCTCCCCGCCCGCGTCCTAGTCCTCCGGTCCCGCATCGCTCTCGGCCAGTCTGCAGAGGTCCTGGCTGAGCTCAAGGGCGAGAAGAAGCCCGAGCTGGCGGCCCTCGGTGCCTACGCCCAATTCGAGACGGGCAAGACGGAGGAGGCGGTTGCGACGATCCAGAAGCTCGTCGAGACCGAGGGAGAGAATGCGACTGTGCAGATTATCGGAGGCACCGTCCTGCAAGCGGCTGGCCTGCCAGAGGAGGCCCTGACGCTGCTGTCGCAACACCAAGGAAGCCGTATGTTGGGATTGGAGCTCTAGCGGGCAGCGCGTTCCAGGCCGGATGCTAACCCCGCCACAGTCGATGCCGTCGCCCTCATTGTACAGATCCATCTGCAACAGAACCGAAACGACCTGGCCCTGAAGGAGGTCGCTGCGGCCAGGAGGTGGGCTCAGGACAGCTTGCTTGTCAACCTGGCCGAGTCTTGGGTTGGCCTGCGCCAGGTACGATACGACGAGAAACACACATCCACGGCGAAGGAAGGAAGAGCAGTGACGCTGACAAGGAACAGGGCGGCGAGAAGTATCAGCAGGCGTTCTACGTTTTCGAGGAGCTCGCTCAAGCACCAGCAACATCGTCCACCATCTCGCTCGTGTCGCAAGCTGTGGCTGAGTTGCACCTTGGACGCACCGAGGAGGCGCAGGCGGCGCTTGACCAGGCTCTGGAGAAGGACGGCAACAATGCCGAGGCCATCGCTAACCTGCTGGTTCTCACTGTCATCGCAGGCCAGGACCCGACGGAGCTCACAACGTAAGAAAATCCATTCCGGGCCATCCCCTCACGAAATCTACTTCGGAAGTTATCCTGACAGACCACTAGCAAGCTCCAAGCGGCAGACGCAAAACATCCTTTCCTCGCGGACCTCGAGGAGAAGAGTGCCCTGTTCGACAAGGCGGCTACCAAGTACAGCGCCAAGGTATCAGCATAGGCGCACAGTCGCCCCGCGACAGGTACGGCGGACGGTGGTATTCATAGTTGGGCGTATGGGCATGCAGAGGAGATGGGACCTCGATGATACGAGACGAAAAACCATACATGGGTTGTTACCAAGGGCTCGGAAAAGCGCAAGACGAGACCACGATGCAAATGGACACATTTCACGCTAAATCCGCGAAACCGTCTGCTTACCTACTCTTCTTTCCTGAGCGACTCGCTCACCCCGATGCGACGGACGGACGGGGCGCTCCATAATGCTGCACCACCCACGCTGGGCCATTTCTGTGATCCAGGGCCTAGAATCGCTTCGATCGCCGATCACGTCGACCACTCGAAAATTCTCATCATCGCAGTTTGTTGACGGGAGCCTCAGGGCTAACTGGAGCAGGGAGAGATCGGCACATAGGAGGCCAAACCCCTCGCTACGCGCTTGGCCAAGTGGCTAGCTGAAGGCTCGAACGCTGCTGTTGAACAATGAGGGAATATCGACGCGAGAAAACACAGAAGTCCTGAGCGCGTCAAAGCGATGCTCAAATGTCCCAAATCACGGTGACGGGTCGATTCGAAGAAGACAGCGCCCTTGTCGTCATGATGCACGGAAGGATGCTGACTGCAAACCGTTAGATGACGGCAACGCCATGAAGTCTCACCGCTAGATGGCATGGCGGCATCAGGCTCCCGTCACGTCTCGCCCGTGCCGCATACAGCGGGCGCCTGGCTGTGAGTGCCCTCGACTCCTCGCGAAGAAGCCTTGCCTTCACAGCGGCCTGCAGCCTGATGCAGACGCAGGATCCACCACGGTGAAATGCCCCTCAACTCAACGCGGACCCCCCCCACCCCCTGTCCAGCACGCTTCACAAGCCCAGCCACGAACCTGGCCAACCCCCCGCCATCACCGTCGATGACATCACTGCCGCTATCGTGATCTCTTGTCCTACCAAATTGCCATGCCGGTTTGCTAAACCCCTCAGGCCCTTGACCCCTCGACCCCTCGATTACCACCCAGTCGGCCAAGCGGGGGTGATGAAGCGCGAGAGAGCCGCATCACGATGCTGTCCACGTAGGTCATCGTGCAGGGTCGCCTGTAATCTGGATGACAGCAAGCAGACGTCGATGAATTTTCCCTTGTTGCCTCCCAATTCTCCACTATGCCCGAGTTAGCAGCGCGACAGTTCGAAACCCAACCGCAAGCGTCGTCCTCAGCGTTCAGAGCACTGGAATGTGGTCCCTCGGTTGCAGCAAGCCCATGTCTTTTCCTCTGTCAGCAAGGGGAAGAGGGCCAAGAAGTCGCCTGGCCTAGTCGAGAGGCGAAAGATCGGACAAACCGACAAGGCGGCTCTGCTAGGGTTTTCAAACCTCGTGTACGGTGCCTGAGACTGGAGGGAGGTGGTGGGGGATCAGAATGTGATTCCGCGCGCTAAATGTCCCGATTGGATGCGCCGTCTCGATTTGGGCGCGATTGCCATGTTTCTTGCCTCTTGCTCGGTGTCTAGTCGGGGGAAGGCCCTGTCGTCGGCGGCGTGCTGGACCCTGTCAGCCTGTTCAACCACCCCGTCTGGCGCCTGTCCCCCCCGAAGCCATGCACGGCTTCTGCTGCCCTCTGACGTCTTCCTGCTTCTGCCGCCACGGCTAGATGCCTTTTTCTGGATCCGTCATGGTGAAAGGAATGGGCTATGCTGGACGCTATCGGTCCCTTGTCCGTCATGATGGCGTTCTGGGCCTCACCCCTATTTCGTCTACATAAGGAACGAGGGTCCGTTCCTTTGCTTGATCAGTCTGCTTCAAACTTTACCTGCATAACAACGACGACAACTGACATCGGCTGCGACTGCTCTGAACAACAGCTAGTCTCTTCTCTCTCGGCATCACCACCAATAGACTCCGACTTTGACCGACACACCAGACTCCACCATGCCTATCGCCATCACACCCCCCGAGACCCCGGTCCAGAAGGACCTCTCCACAGTTGTTCAGGTCCCGCCGCCAACGGAGAACAAGAAGCGCAAGATCATCTGCTTCTCGGGTACGTGAGATCGACTACAGGGTGGACTACAGACTTGGCGATACTAACCTTGGCTGCCTTACCCCAGATTTTGACGGCACAATCTTCATGCAAGATACGGGCCACATCCTCTTCGACAACCACGGCTGTGGCGCCGAGCGTCGCGAGGTCCTTGACGAGCAAATCAAGACGGGCGAGCGATCATTCCGCGACGTGTCGGAGGAGATGTGGGGATCCCTCAACGTGCCCTTCGACGACGGCTTCGAGGTGATGAAGTCGACGCTCGAGATCGATCCTGCCTTCCGCGCCTTCCATGCCTACTGCCGCCAGCACGGCATCCCCTTCAACGTTATCTCGGCGGGCCTCAAGCCCATCCTGCGCCGCGTGCTCGACACCTTCCTCGGCGAGGAGGCATCAGCGCACATCGACATTGTGGCCAACGAGGCGGAGATCACGGATGATGGTTCGGCGTGGAAGCCCATCTGGCGCCACGACAACGAAATGGGCCACGACAAGGCCTTGTCCATGGCCGAGGCGCGCGCCCAGGCCGAGGAGGCCCTCATCGGCGACGACGGGTCTGTGCCTCTCATCGTCTTCATCGGCGACGGCGTCTCGGACCTGCCCGCCGCGCGCCAAGCCGATGTGCTCTTCGCCCGCCGCGGCCTGCGGCTCGAGGAGTACTGCCAGGAGAACGACATTGCCTACACGGCCTTTGACACGTTTGCCGACATTCAGATCGAGATTGAGAAGATCCGCGACGAGGACGAGAAGAAGACGGCCGGCAAGGGTATGCCCGCGCGCTTCAACCCACGGGCCAATATGTGGCGCCGCGTGTCGAGCCGGAATGCCGTGCCCCGCCTCGCCGTCCTGTCGCCGGGCATTGAGAAAGACCTGGCCGACGTGATGA